CAAAGTTGTTTAAATTAAAATGAAAGTCAAACACATTCAAACAAAGCTATATAAATCAAATGAAAGTGAAATGCATTCTACAAAGCAAATTGAATTAAATGAAATTCAAACACATTCAAACAAAGCTATTTGAATCAAATGAGAGTCAAATAAATTCAAACAAAGCTAATAAAATCAAATAAAAGTAAAATACATTTTACAAAGCTAATTGAATCAAATGAAAGTCAAACACATTCAAACAAAGCCTTTTAAATCAAATGAAAGTCAAACACATTCAAAAAAAGCTTTTTAATTTAAATGAAAGTCAAACAAATTCAAACAAAGCTATATAAATCAAATGAAAGTGAAATGCATTCTACAAAGCAAATTGAATTAAATGAAATTCAAACACATTCAAACAAAGCTATTTGAATCAAATGACAGTCAAATACATTCTACAAAGCTAATTGAATCAATTGAAAGTCAAACACATTCAAACAAAGCTAATTGAATCAAATGAAAGTCAAATACATTCAACAAAGCTAATTGAATCAAACGAAAGTCAAGCACATTTAAAAAAAGCTATTCCAATCAAATGAGAGTCAAATACATTCAAACAAAGCTAATTAAATCAAATAAAAGTCAAATACATTCTACAAAGCTAATTGAATCAAATGAAAGTCAAATACATTCTACAAAGCTAATTGAATCAAATGAAAGTCAAACACATTCAAACAAAGCTAATTGAATCAAATGAAAGTCAAATACATTCAACAAAGCTAATTAAATCAAATGAAAGTCAAACACATTCAAACAAAGCTAATTGAATCAATTGAAAGTCAAGCACATTCAAACAAAGCTATTCGAATCAAATGAGAGTCAAATACATTCAAACAAAGCTAATTAAATAAAAAAAAAGTCTAATACATTCTACAAAGCTAATTGAATTAAATTAAAGTCAAACACATTCAAACAAAGCTAATTGAATCAAATGAAAGTCAAACACATTCAAACAAAGATTTCGAATCAAATGAAAGTCAAATACATTCTACAAAGCTAATTGAATCAAATGAAAGTCAAACACATTCAAATAAAGCTATTTGAATCAAATGAAAGTCAAATACATTCTACAAAGCTAATTGAATCAAATGAAAGTCAAACACATTCAAACAAAGCTATTTGAATCAAATGAGAGTCAAATAAATTCAAACAAAGCTAATTAAATTCAAATAAAGGTAAAATACATTCTACAAAGCTAATTGAATAAAATGAAATTCAAACACATTCAAACAAAGCTATTTGAATCAAATGAGAGTCAAATAAATTCAAACAAAGCTAATTAAATTCAAATAAAAGTAAAATACATTCTACAAAGCTAATTGAATCAAATGAAAGTCAAACACATTCAAACAAAGCCTTTTATATCAAATGAAAGTCAAACACATTTAAAAAAAGCTTTTTAATTTAAATGAAAGTCAAACACATTCAAACAAAGCTATATAAATCAAATGAAAGTGAAATGCATTCTACAAAGCAAATTGAATTATATGAAAATAAAACAAATTAAAACAAAGCTATTTGAATCAAATGACAGTCAAATACATTATACAAAGCTAATTGAATCAAATGAAAGTCAAACACATTCAAACAAAGATAATTGAATCAAATGAAAGTCAAATACATTCAACAAAGCTAATTGAATCAAATGAAAGTCAAACACATTCAAACAAAGCTATTCGAATCAAATGAGAGTCAAATACATTCAAACAGAGCTAATTAAATCAAATAAAAGTCTAATACATTCTACAAAGCTAATTGAATTAAATTAAAGTCAAACACATTCAAACAAAGCTATTTGAATCAAATGAAAGTCAAACACATTCAAACAAAGATTTCGAATCAAATGAAAGTCAAATACATTCTACAAAGCTAATTGAATCAAATGAAAGTCAAACACATTCGAATAAAGCTATTTGAATCAAATGATAGTCAAATACATTCTACAAAGCTAATTGAATCAAATGAAAGTCAAACACATTCAAACAAAGCTATTTGAATCAAATGAGAGTCAAATAAATTCAAACAAAGCTAATTAAATCAAATAAAAGTAAAATACATTCTACAAAGCTAATTGAATCAAATGAAAGTCAAACACATTCAAACAAAGCCTTTTAAATCAAATGAAAGTCAAACACATTCAAAAAAAGCTTTTTAATTTAAATGAAAGTCAAACACATTCAAACAAAGCTATATAAATCAAATGAAAGTGAAATGCATTCTACAAAGCAAATTGAATTAAATGAAATTCAAACACATTCAAACAAAGCTATTTGAATCGAATGACAGTCAAATACATTCTACAAAGCTAATTGAATCAATTGAAAGTAAAACACATTCAAACAAAGCTATTTGAATTAAATGAAAGTCAAATACATTCTACAAAGCTAATTGAATCAAATGAAAGTCAAACACATTCAAACAAAGCTAATTGAATCAAATGAAAGTCAAACACATTCAAACAAATCTATTTGGATTAAATGAAAGTCAAATACATTATACAAAGCTAATTGAATCAAATGAAAGTCAAACACATTCAAACAAAGCTAATTGAATCAAATGATAGTCAAGCACATTCAAACAAAGCTATTTGAATCAAATGAGAGTCAAATACATTCAAACAAAGCTAATTAAATCAAATAAAAGTCTAATACATTCTAAAAAGCTAATTGAATTAAATTAAAGTCAAACACATTCAAACAAAGCTAATTGAATCAAATGAAAGTCAAACTGATAACTTGCTATTTTATGCGGTTTTAGGGCGTATTTGAACCTAGTTTACCTGAACAAATTTGTGTTTTGGTTCACTTTTACCCTATTATTATGCAATTTTTGTGTATCCTATGCTTCACGGGTTGTTAGTGTTTTTGTTGAGATTTTAGGTCCAAAGACGACCAAATGAAGCCCATGGTTACCAAACCGAGGTTAGAAGCAAGGAAATGATGGAAAGAATCCAAGTACAAGAGCATCGTAGAAGAAAACACGAAGAAAAGGGCCCAGAAGACCCTGCACGGCCGTGCAAGATGTTGCACGTCCGTGCAGGAGTGCAGACCTGAACCCATCTTTCTGCCAAGGCCTGCACGGACGTGCCAAATATTGCACGTCCGTGCAGATGATGCAGCACGGACGTGCTTCCGTGATTATGAGGCAGCACGGACGTGCCAAATATTGCACGTCCGTGCAGATGATGCAGCACGGACGTGCCAAAGGTGCACGCCCGTGCTGCAGCAGGTCGTCTTAAACTGAGTTTCTGCCTTGGTCTGCACGGACGTGCCAACTTCAGCACGTCCGTGCAGACCTACAGTTTACCTGTTTCTTGTTTTCTCCGTCCTCTTATTTTAGGGGGTAGTATAAATAGCCCCTTTGGACCATTTTAGAGGGGTTCCCAATTTTTTTTCCAGATTTTCATACTCCTCTTAGTTTGAAACACAAAAATCCTCAAATTAGCATAGATTTTAGTTCTTGTTTTGAAGGTTTTTAATCCAATCATTGTAGAAGACAAGTTCCACCATTGTTAGTCAATTATTGAAGTTTCTAGTAATTTTTCTTACTCTTTCTTTCTCTCTTCTATCTTTAATTCTTGCTTTTTATTAATTGTTTGGTTGTTCTTTGCACGTTTAATTGTTAGATTCTACTTAATTCTTAGTTTTAATTTTTTCATGAATTCCTTGAAATCTTTAATTGCTTTAACTTCCATGGATTGTGAGTAGTCTAATTTCTAGGGTTTGGGTGAACCCTCAATGTAATCACCAACACTTGTTGCATGTACTAATTTGTTAATTGTGGGGTGTTAATTAGTTGAGTTTAAGAGGTTTCATTGTTAATTCTTGTAATTGGCCATTGCTTGAATTATTTATCTAGCTTCCTCAACGAAGGATCGAGAGATGAACTTGAGGAAGCTCCCTTATGCTTGATTGACTTGATTTGCCATGAGAATAGGAATTTCTAGTCAAGGGAATTTGCATGTTATCGTGAGGATGTTTTAACACTTGTTTCTTGCCCATAATCACGAGAGTAGGTTATGGTTTTGATGTCAAGTAATCCCTCTAGCTTGAGAGAGTAGTTGGGTGCATTTGATAACTTCCCCTAATTTATCCCCTAAATCACCATTTCTATGCATGCTACTTGTGGTCCGTGATGAAGTTGAGTGGTGTAACCCATGCCCTAGGCCTTCTTAATATTGTTAATCACCTCTTAGAATTAGTTGATTTGAATTAGAATAGTGTGACGTAATACCAACTTAAAACCCCCGACTTAATCTAGCTTGTTTAAACAATAACATTTGGTGGTTGATTCAACGCCTCTCATGGGTTCGACCCTTTCTTGCCCTTGCTACTAGTTTAGTAGGATCGAGTTAGGTCTTATTTCTTGATAGGTTGACGACGTCCTATCAAGTTTTGGCGCCGTTGCCGGGGAGGCAAAGTCACATTGAATAAGTTATTGTTGAATAAGTCTAGATTTGTGTATATGTATATAATCTTCTTATTTTGTTTTTGTTTAAGCGTGTTTACCTTGTGATAGTCATTGCTAAAGTTTTCCTTAGCTTTGTTTGACTGTGCATGACACGGAGGAGTAAGCAATCACCGCTTATCCCCGTAGATCCGGAGTTAAATAGAACTTTGAGGAACGTAAGAAGGCTCCTACAAGGCACGCCGGATTTTTCTCTAGCTTATACGGATTCCGAGTCGGAGGATAATCTTGACAACGAGCAAGAGATGGCCAACCCACCGCCTCCTCCACTTCTACAAGACTATGACCACCCCGATGCATTCCAACTTCGGAGTGGCATACTTCTTCCCACCACCAATGCAAACAACTATGAGTTTTCTCCTCAACTCATAAGGATGATCCAAAGTGAACAGTTCGGGGGGAGTGCAAATGAGTGCCCTCTAGCTCATTTAGACAACTTCCTTGAGTTGTGCACTACCATCAAGCAAAACAACCTCACGGAGGAATTCATTTAGATGCATATGTTTCGGTTCTCTCTTAGGGACAAGGCTAAGTGTTGGTTGAGGTCCGTGAAAGAAGGATCCTTAACAACATGGGAAGAGGTTACCAAAGCATTTCTTGGGAAGTTTTGTCCGCCCGAAAAGACCGCGGAATTGAGAAGGAAGATTACAAGCTTCACTCAAGAGGATGATGAAACCTTAGGTGAAGCATGGGAAAGATTCAAGGATCTAAAGAGGAAGTGTCCACACCATGGGTTGCCTTTATGGATGATTATTCAAAGCTTCTACGACGGTCTCACTCCTACCTCAAGGGCAAATCTTGACAACGGAGCCGGTGGTAGTCTTAAAAAGCTACCGGTGGAAGAAGCCGAGAATATGATTGAAGAAGTTGCAAGGCATTACGCCTATAGATATGATAGAAGAGAAAGTCAACCGAAGAAGAAAGGTATGCATGAGTTGAGTGCAATAGATCTCATTGCCTCAAAGTTTGATATGCTAGCTCACAAGCTAGACCAAGCAACCTCCTCAAGCGGTACCTCCTCTTCACAACCACAACCACAAGTCATGTCTTGTGAGACTTATGGGGGTAATGATCACATGGCTTCATATTGCAATGCTACTAATGAGCAAGTTGCGGCCGTGAACCAAAGAAATGAGCAACCTTTCAATCAAGGTTGGAGGCAACAAAACCAAGGGTGGAGACAACCCAATCAAAACCAACAATCCAACTACAACAACCCTCCTCAAAACATCTACAACCAAAATCAACAAAATCACCAAGCCCCATACCGCCATCCAAACCAACAAAGACAGCAATTCAACCAACAACCTCCTCCACCCCAAAAGACTTCCCTTGAGGCCGCTCTTGAGTCTTTCATAAATCAACAAGGGAAGAGCAATGCAGAAATGAGCTCCAACATCCAACAACTTCAAGCGCACAACAAAATAATTGAGAATCAACTAGCTTAAATTGCACAACAAGTTGGGAGTTCTACCTCCAATGCTAGTGGTCAATTTCCAAGCTCAACGGTTGTGAACCCGAAGGAGCATGTCAAGGCTATCACATTGAGGTCCGGGAGAGGGTATGAAGGTCCGATAATGAGTGAAGATGTGCCACAAAAGAGAGATGAGGGTGTGGAGGTGAGAAGTGAGAATGATGTTGAAAATGAGGTGGTAGAAGTTGAGAGAAAAGAAAAAGAAAAGAGTGTTGAGGGAGACACAAAGAAAGGAGAGGGAGTTGAAGTTGAAGTGGAGAAACCCCCAATGAGAGTCTACAAGCCACCTATTCCTTTCCCTCATAGGTTGGTAGAGAAAAAATTGAATGAGAAGTTTTCAAAGTTCCTTGAGGTCATGAGAGGGCTCCAAGTGAACATTCCCTTTCTTCATGCTATGTCACAAATGCCTACATATGCGAAATTTTTAAAAGATCTCTTGTCCAACAAAAGTAGGCTTGAAGAGAGTGCAACCATCTCCCTTCCAATGGAGGTGAGCGCAATCATTCAAAACAAGCTTCCCCGAAAGCTTGGTGACCCGGGTAGCTATGCAATTCCGGTGAAGATTGGAGATATGGAAGCCATGGATGCTCTTTGTGATCTTGGGGCAAGTGTAAGCTTGATGCCCTTCTCAATTGCGAAAAATTTAAAAGTTGGTGAGATGAAGCCAACAAGAATCTCAATACAATTAGCCGATAGTTCGGTTAGATTACCAATGGGAATACTTGAAGATGTACCGGTACAAGTGGGAAGAGTTTTTGTAACTTGTGACTTTGTGGTGATGGAAATGGAGGAGGACAACAAGGTTCCTCTAATTTTGGGAAGGCCGTTCTTGAACACGGCGGGAGTGGTAATTGATATGAAACAAGGCAAGCTAACATTGAATGTGGGAGATGAGAAAATTTCTTTCTCATTCTCGCAAGCCATGAGGAAGCCTATGTATGAGGATATCAATAGAATCGATACTCTTGACCGAGAAGTGGAGGAATTGAAGATGATGAACAATAGCAAAGATACTCTACAAGCGATCCTCACGGAAAGTTTGTACAATGATGATGATGAAGCTAAGGGGTACAAGTTGTTTCTAGACCAACCCCTACATGGCAAGGAAAGGGAGTTTGAAGCACTTAAGGTGGAGGTAAAAGAGGAGAGGTCTACGCCTCCTCCTAAGGTTGAACTTAAACCCCTTCCCCCTTCACTTAAATACGTTTTTCTTGATGATAATGAGACTTATCCCGTTATTGTCAATACCAACCTTGATGACACTTCCCTTGAGAAACTCCTAGTTGTGTTGAGGGAGTATAGGAGTGTCATTGGGTATGTCATTGATGACATTAAGGGGATAAGTCCCACGATATGCATGCACAAGATTTTGCTTGATAATGATCATGACTCCTCAATTGAGCACCAAAGAAGGCTCAACCCCAACATGAAAGAAGTTGTTAAAAAAGAGGTTTTGAAACTTCTTGAAGCGGGCATAATCTACCCTATCTCCGATAGCAAGTGGGTTAGCCCGGTTCAAGTTGTTCCAAAAAAAGGGGGCATGACCATTATCAAGAACGATAAGGGTGAGACCATTTCTACAAGGTCGGTCACCGGGTGGAGAATGTGCATAGACTATCGAAAATTGAACAAATCCACTCGGAAGGACCACTTCCCTCTCCCCTTTATCGATCAAATCTTGGAAAGGTTGGCATCACATAGTCACTATTGCTTCTTGGATGGGTATTCGGGATTCCTCCAAATCCCTATCCTACCCGAGGATCAAGAGAAGACTACATTCACATGCCCTTTTGGCACCTTTGCTTATCGAAGGATGCCATTTGGATTATGTAATGCACCTTCTACATTTCAAAGGTGTATGATGTCTATCTTTTCCGACATGCTTGAATCATCAATCGAGGTATTTATGGATGACTTTTCTGTTTGCGGTTCATCTTTTGACACTTGCCTAAGTAATTTGATTAAAGTGTTAAAAAGATGTCAAGAGGTGAACCTTGTGCTTAATTGGGAAAAATGTCATTTCATGGTTGAACAGGGTATTGTGTTGGGACATGTTGTTTCTAGTAGGGGCATTGAGGTTGATCGTGCCAAAATTGAGGTTATTGAGCGCCTCCCTCCCCCCACTAATGTGAAGGGTATAAGGAGTTTTCTTGGACACGCGGGTTTTTACCGCCGGTTCATTAAAGATTTTTCCAAAATCGCTAAGCCGCTCACTCAATTGTTGGTAAAGGATGCCCCTTTTGTGTTTTCTAATGATTGTTTGTTAGCCTTTGATAGGTTGAAGGAAGCTTTGATCACGGCTCCCATCATTCAACCACCGAATTGGGAGCTCCCTTTTGAACTCATGTGTGATGCTTCGGACTATGCCGTTGGATCTGTGCTTGGGCAAAGGAAGGATAAAAAGCTCCATGCCATCTATTACACTAGCAAAACTCTTGATGAAGCACAAAGAAACTACACAACGACTGAAAAAGAGCTCCTAGCCATCGTCCATGCTATCGAAAAGTTTAGGTCTTACTTGGTGGGCTCCAAAGTTATAGTTTTCACCGACCATGCGGCTTTGAAGTACTTGCTGTCCAAGAAGGACGCTAAACCAAGGTTGATTAGGTGGGTCTTGCTCTTACAAGACTACGATATAGAAATTCGGGACAAGAAGGGTGCCGAGAATGTAGTAGCCAATCATCTCTCACGGCTACCGATCGTAGAAGGTGAAATTGAAGCTTTGCCAATTGATGATTCATTCCCGGATGATCAATTATTCGCAATCATTCAAGCCCCGGCCCCATGGTTTGCGGATATTGCAAATTACTTGGCTTGCTCCATCCTTCCTCCCGACCTCACCTATCAACAAAAGCGGAAGTTCCTCCATGATGTCCGCCAATACTTTTGGGATGACCCCTTGCTCTTCAAACAAGGTGTTGATGGTCTTTTTAGAAGGTGTGTCCCCGACGATGAAATTCATGAAGTTATCACAATGTGTCACTCCTCACCTTGTGGAGGACATATGAGTGCTAACAAGACATTGGCGAGAATATTGCAATGCGGTTTCTATTGGCCCTCTATGTTCAAGGACGTATAAGGAGTTGTTAAAGCTTGTGACCGGTGTCAAAGGACCGGTAATTTGTCAAGAAAGAATGAAATGCCTTTGAATAACATTTTAGAGCTGGAAATTTTCGATGTGTGGGGAATAGATTTTATGGGACCTTTCCCATCCTCTTTTGGGAACAAATACATTTTGGTGGCCGTCGACTATGTATCAAAGTGGGTTGAAGCGGTTGCATCTCCTACAAATGATGCTAAGGTAGTGGTCAAGTTGTTCAAGAAAGTCATTTTCCCTAGGTTTGGTGTGCCACGTGCCGTAATAAGTGATGGAGGATCGCACTTTGCAAAGCGATCTTTCAAGGCTCTCCTTGAAAAATACGGAGTGAGGCACAAGGTGTCATTGGCTTACCACCCTCAAACAAGTGGTCAAGCTGAAATTTCAAATAGGGAGATTAAGTTGATACTAGAGAAGACGGTGAATAGGTCAAGGAAGGATTGGTCATCAAGGTTGGATGATGCTCTATGGGCCTACCGCACCGCCTTCAAGACTCTTATTGGCACCACCCCTTACAAGCTCATTTATGGGAAATCATGCCATCTACCGGTGGAACTGGAACATCGTGCGCACTGGGCTATCAAAACCTTGAATTTTGATATCCAATCCGCCGGAGAAAAGAGGATGCTTGACCTCCATGCCTTGGAAGAGTTGAGGTTAGATGCATATGAGAGTGCAAAGATCTACAAGGAGAAGACCAAAGCATGGCACGACAAGCACATCAACAAGAGAGAGTTCAAGGAGGGTGACAAGGTCTTGCTATTTAACTCCCGGTTGAAGTTGTTTCCGGGAAAGCTAAAATCAAGATGGAGTGGCCCTTTCACCATTACAAAGGTATTCCCATATGGCGCCATTGAGATTTCCAACGACAAAGGTGAACCATTCAAAGTTAATGGCCAAAGGTTGAAAGCATACTTCGATGGTTTCGTGCAAGAAGAAACAAAGGTAGTTCATTTAGATGAATTTGATATCCCTCGTGGTTGAAAACGTAATATGGTCAAGCTAGTGACAATAAAGAAGCGCTTCCGGGAGGCAACCCGAGTATTTTAGTAATTTTTCTTAAAAAAAAAAAAAAAAAAAAAAAAAAAAAAAAAAAGGGGAGTATTTTCTCATTTACCATTGGTTCATGTTGTGTTCTCGTACGTATATGTTGATTTGCATGCCCCTATTCCCATTTCCCTAACATCCAAACCCTTTGAATCCAAATTGCTTCCTTTGAAATCCAAATCCCTTACATTGTGAATACTTCTCCTATCCCTTATTTAGATGTATAGTTATTTTATGTCTAGTTTAGCCTGGTTTCTAAAAAAAAAAGAAAAAAGAGAGAAAAAAATGAAAAAAAAAATGATGAAAAAGTGCCCAAGGATGAAACTCATATGACGATTCGTGTGTGATTTACTTGCTTCGCTTTTGAATGACAAGTTACTCTTAGAAAAGTGTATGCAAGGGTTGGAGTCATATAGGAGTTTATTAAACTTGATTGCCTTGGTTTGAACATGAAATGAAAGTCGATGAATGTTCATTTGCACATTAAGTTCATGAAATTGTCTAAGCACACTTGAAGTAGGTTATGTTTAGTTGATTTGCGGTCCCTTGTGCCCTTGGTGTGCCTTCCACTCTTCCCAAAATAAAGCTTTGCTTGAGATTTATTAGGTTTATGTTTATTAAATAAATTGGTAAAATAAACCACAATTTCTAAAAAAAAAAAAAAAAAAAAAAAAAAAAAAAAAAAAATGTCGCTCAACAGTCAAAAAAGGCGGAGCAAATAAATAAAGTCTCAAATTCAAGGGATTTATCTTATGAAATTTTTTTTTACATTTCCCTTTTGAGGTCAATTTGTGGATGCCTCCCACACCCTTTATCCTTAGTTTCCTCTTGTAAAAATCTCATAGTAGAGTGTAGTGGAGGGAGTTTGTTTGTGCATCTTGGGAGGTGGACTTGTATTTCACTATTTTATAACCGAAAATAAAAATGTGCTATGACTTAGGAATGAGCAAATGTGCTTTAATGAACTAGTAAAAAGCCTAAGGAAGTGTTCCATTGCAATCTTGTTCAGCATCCTTCTTGGTCTCTAACTCATGTGTACATTATTATGATGTTGATTTTTGAATGTTGTTCACTTGTCTTGCTTTTGAATCACATCCCGATGAGTTGACTTGGGCTATAAAAAAAAAAAAAAAAAAATCGTGTGTTGTGTTTGTGGGATTTGTGGGTGATTCTCTTTGGAAACCCTCACGAGAGATGGACTCGTCCTACTAGGCGACTTGTAGGTTTAAACGGCTTCTCACTTTTGCTAAAAGTGATCGTTCGGTTTATTGTGTATGCCTACCCTTTCTTGGTTTAACTTTTGCTTCAACCTTCTATAACAAGTTAGTTCCCTCTATTTGTTTTGTCATGACTAGTTTGCTCGAGGACGAGCAAAAGCTTAGCTTGGGGGGATTTGATAACTTGCTATTTTATGCGGTTTTAGGGCGTATTTGAACCTAGTTTACCTGAACAAATTTGTGTTTTGGTTCACTTTTACCCTATTATTATGCAATTTTTGTGTATCCTATGCTTCACGGGTTGTTAGTGTTTTTGTTGAGATTTTAGGTCCAAAGACGACCAAATGAAGCCCATGGTTACCAAACCGAGGTTAGAAGCAAGGAAATGATGGAAAGAATCCAAGTACAAGAGCATCGTAGAAGAAAACACGAAGAAAAGGGCCCAGAAGACCCTGCACGGCCGTGCAAGATGTTGCACGTCCGTGCAGGAGTGCAGACCTGAACCCATCTTTCTGCCAAGGCCTGCACGGACGTGCCAAATATTGCACGTCCGTGCAGATGATGCAGCACGGACGTGCTTCCGTGATTATGAGGCAGCACGGACGTGCCAAATATTGCACGTCCGTGCAGATGATGCAGCACGGACGTGCCAAAGGTGCACGCCCGTGCTGCAGCAGGTCGTCTTAAACTGAGTTTCTGCCTTGGTCTGCACGGACGTGCCAACTTCAGCACGTCCGTGCAGACCTACAGTTTACCCGTTTCTTGTTTTCTCCGTCCTCTTATTTTAGGGGTAGTATAAATAGCCCCTTTGGACCATTTTAGAGGGGTTCCCAATTTTTTTTCCAGATTTTCATACTCCTCTTAGTTTGAAACACAAAAATCCTCAAATTAGCATAGATTTTAGTTCTTGTTTTGAAGGTTTTCAATCCAATCATTGTAGAAGACAAGTTCCACCATTGTTAGTCAATTATTGAAGTTTCTAGTAATTTTTCTTACTCTTTCTTTCTCTCTTCTATCTTTAATTCTTGCTTTTTATTAATTGTTTGGTTGTTCTTTGCATGTTTAATTGTTAGATTCTACTTAATTCTTAGTTTTAATTTTTTCATGAATTCCTTGAAATCTTTAATTGCTTTAACTTCCATGGATTGTGAGTAGTCTAATTTCTAGGGTTTTGGTGAACCCTCAATGTAATCACCAACACTTGTTGCATGTACTAATTTGTTAATTGTGGGGTGTTAATTAGTTGAGTTTAAGAGGTTTCATTGTTAATTCTTGTAATTGGCCATTGCTTGAATTATTTATCTAGCTTCCTCAACGAAGGATCGAGAGATGAACTTGAGGAAGCTCCCTTATGCTTGATTGACTTGATTTAGCATGAGAATAGGAATTTCTAGTCAAGGGAATTTGCATGTTATCGTGAGGATGTTTTAACACTTGTTTCTTGCCCATAATCACGAGAGTAGGTTATGGTTTTGATGTCAAGTAATCCCTCTAGCTTGAGAGAGTAGTTGGGTGCATTTGATAACTTCCCCTAATTTATCCCCTAAATCACCATTTCTATGCATGCTACTTGTGGTCCGTGATGAAGTTGAGTGGTGTAACCCATGCCCTAGGCCTTCTTAATATTGTTAATCACCTCTTAGAATTAGTTGATTTGAATTAGAATAGTGTGACGTAATACCAACTTAAAACCCCCGACTTAATCTAGCTTGTTTAAACAATAACATTTGGTGGTTGATTCAACGCCTCTCATGGGTTCGACCCTTTCTTGCCCTTGCTACTAGTTTAGTAGGATCGAGTTAGGTCTTATTTCTTGATAGGTTGACGACGTCCTATCACAAACAACATTCAAACAAAGATTTCGAATCAAATGAAAGTCAAATACATTCTACAAAGCTTAATTGAATCAAATGAAAGTCAAACACATTCAAATAAAGCTATTTGAATCAAATGAAAGTCAAATATATTCTACAAAGCTAATTGAATCAAATGAAATTCAAATACATTTAAACAAAGCTATTTGAATCAAATGAGAGTCAAATAAATTCAAACAAAGCTAATTAAATCAAATAAAAGTAAAATACATTCTACAAAGCTAATTGAATCAAATGAAAGTCAAACACATCCAAACAAAGCCTTTTAAATCAAATAAAAGTCAAACACATTCAAAAAAAGCTTTTTAATTTAAATGAAAGGTCAAACACAGTCAAACAAAGTTATTTAACTCAAATGAAAGTCAAATACATTTTACAAAGCTAATTGAATCAAATGAAAGTCAAACACATTCAAACAAAGCTATTTGAATCAAAATGAAAGTCAAATACATTCTACAAAGCTAATTGAATCAAATGAAAGTCAAACACATTCAAACTAAGCTATTTGAATCAATTGAAAGTCAAATACATTCTACAAAGATGATGGAATCAAATGAAAGTCAAACACATTCAAACAAAGCTATTTGAATCAAATGAAAGTCAAATACGTTCTACAAAGCTAATTGAATCAAATAAAAGTGAACACATTCAAACAAAGCTATTAGAATCAAATGAGAGTAAAATACATTAAAACAAAGCTAATTAAATCAAATAAAAGTCAAATACATTCTAACAAAGCTAATTGAATCAAATGAAAGTCAAATACATTCTTCAAAGCTGATTGAATCAAATGAAAGTCATACACATTCAAAACAAAGCTAATTGAATCAAAAGAAAGAGTCAA